CTTGGAAAGCCCGTCGCAGCGCGCAAGTGCTGAAAATAAGCCCAAAGAGCCTGCCCGACTGCGCCAGCCACTCTGGTTTGTCCACGACATTTCATTGAGGAACATGGTTTTGCCGCAGCGGTCGATCTTTAGATTTTGAAACAAAATGGGGGTCGCAGTGAACCATCAGGCTCCCGTACCCCTGGGCCTTATGCAGGGCGGTAGCGACTTCGTAAAGATGTCTACTGTGCTCTGGTTCGTTCCCACTTTCTCAAAACGCATTGTTCGCCAATCGCTCTTGAGTCCAGAAAAATCTCGTTCGCACGTGGCTTTTCCCAAGACCTTGTCGATTGCAAGCGCTCAAAGCTGCGCCTGAATCTGTGAGAACCTTCAGCTTGGTCTCAAGTCTCAAGGCTCCAACCGCGCAAAACATCCTGATTTGAGAAAGCTGTTGAAACTGTTTTGACAAGAGCATAGAACAAGATGACAAACTGATTGCAGATTGCAAGTTAGATCTCAGAAGCGGCGCAAAGCCTCTGTGGCCGAAACTTTTCAACAACTTGCGTTGCGCCGCGCAAATAACGAGCGAACTGCTTCAGCTGCCTGAAGTCTGATTCGCATCCATTTGCCATTCTCCTTGCTACGCGCTTGCGCTTTTGTGCTTCTGCAAGATCAGGACGATCCTGGCTAAGAGCGCCAGCCTCAGGACTACCGACTGATTAAAGCTCACCCGGTCTGGAACCTGTGGGCATTGACAACTTCTTCATTTTGCCATGTCCAACTGCTTCACGATCGTTTCAGCGTGGCGGGGATCAGGCTCGTCGCTGGTCGTTCCGGCGCGTTCGCGCAATGAAACAACACGGATCAAATCAGTTAAGCGTTGGTAGCGTCGAAGAACGCCCAATACTACCACGAATGCAGAACTCGCTCTCCCACATAGCTGCGGCCTTGCTTGGGCGCAGAACAACAAATTCGTCGCCATGCTACAATCGACGAATCGCGTGTTCGTGATGTCAGAAACCTGCTGGCCGCGCGTTGGGCTTCTTGAACTGTCGGGGTTCCAAAAGGCCCAGGTACGAACATTGCCAAAGCAAGTCCAACAAACCACACATACCCTCTAAGTTTAGCCCGGGCGTCGCGGCCTGGGAAGTCTGAGTGGGGCGCTTCAGGCGGCGGGGGGACGGCCTTGCCTGGGATGAAACATGGCAATGTGGGCAAACAAAAGCTGGACATCTACTCTACGCAACCAGATCGTCGGCTTACCCTATTCTTCTTCTCCTAGAACAGGGCACAGGTCGCCCATCCCCTGACCCAGATCGAACTCCCACTGTCCCTGACGCGCTAATGCGACTCCGCTGTAGGCCGACATTCCCTGCTCCAAGGCCTCGACGCTTCCAGAAAGACGCGTGCTCCGGAATGGAGTCAGCTGTCTTCGACCTCCTTTCTTGCAGCCTTAACACGCCCACACCAGTGATACAGGACCTTCAAGTTCTTCATCTGCGTTAGGAAGGTATTCGTGGTTCAACATTGCGCTGAACCCTCCGTCAGCTTCCAACTGTTTTCACACTATGCTCAAAATTGCCTTTACCCTGTTCAGAGGATAGACTTGTGCTCCTTTTGCTCATCCGTGTCTCCTTCTTCAGGCAACTCCTTCAGCATGACTTGCGTGCTCGGGGCGCGCGTGGGGGAGAATCTTCCAGCGTTCATCTGTCTGCAGCACGCCTCAACTGCAGTCTTGAGGTGTCTCTTGCCTTCAGCAATTTGCTTTGCGCAAGCCTGCGGTGTGCGGCGAAAACTTTCCGGATGAGGACGATCCCCCAAAGTCCTTGACGCGCCTGTCCTTGGATAATTCCCAACACTTCTCTCTTCATCTCAAGGTCCATGGCAAAGCAAAGAGCAACCGCGTGGCGGTGAGAAAATCTCTCCAACTTGGCCTACGTCTCTGGCCCATTTCAGAACTGGACAACAGTCCTGCGTGTCGACCGCCTGCTACTGCTTCGTGCTTCAAGCGGGGCCGGGTGAGCTGATGAACCATCTCGCGAACCGTTGTTGGCCTTTCTTTCTCGCGCAACTCTGCCATTTAAGAGCTGGCAGAAGCGGGCTTTCCAGCAAATTGCCCGCTGCGCCTTCCACTGAGGCCTTCCCTCGAGCGCTGAAGGTTCCTCAGCATCTGCGGGCTTCCTCTTCTGAACTCCATGCGTGACTGAGGAATCTGCACTCAGTTGCTTCACACGCCGAACAGTTCTCCAAGCCTTCAGGACATAGAAGCTGCTGGGCAGCACCTCCGCTCGGGCAGCTGCGGCGGACAGCTCTGGCTGCGCTCATACTGCTGTCTTTGTTTGCGCGTGGCTACGCTTGCGCGGGGTTTTCCCATCGGGGTGTCAGCCAAGCGTGTTTGGACACCGCGTCAAATCCACGCTTGTCTTGCAAGCCAGACAACAGTGCTCGGATCTGTTGTTTGATTGGCCGAGTGCTGCTAGGGGACGAATCAACCAAAACCGAATTCTTTTCCTTCACCTTCTTCAAAGCAATAACGGCCGGTTCATTGTCACTCTTCGATACAAGTCTTTGGAACCCTGAATCATACTCCACTCCGCCGCGCAAGCAGCGCTCACTACTATGGTGGCGCCCAACGCTCCCTCCTCCGTACACTGGCATTGGGTCTCTGAAGTCATACAGAACGCGATGGATGGTACGTCATCAACCTGGAAAAGGGTTTCAACACAATATCGAGACCAATTTTGCTGGAACTGTCGACCAAATTTGGTCTTCCTCGGAGGTTGAGATCCATGAGCAATTTGAGCAGGTACGCCATTGTAAGCGGAAACGTGCGTCAAAAACACAAAAACCCCGTCGCCCTCTAGCAACGGTCTTGCTGAGGGGGACCCCGTGTCTATCCCACCAGGCATGTACTTGTTTTCGTATGCGGCTCTGGCTACTGGCGGATTCGCGTCACTTTTTCTCAAATTAATTAATTACACTCGCTGCGCGGCTTCGCATGGCGCTGACGCCAATGGCTGCTGCGCGGATGCGCGCGGCATCTCTAGCTGGGGTGACAAGATCTGCAATGGGTCTTGGATGCAGAGCAGTTTCTCCAACTGCTCATGGGAACCTTTGTTTCGTTGTTGGGACAACGGACGTGGATTCCCGGAATCTATGGGATTGGCAGGTGATTGTCGGCTGCCTTTGCGGTGGGATGGGCTCCCCTTTGATGAGGACCCCTGGTTGTTTCAAGCAGTGCGCTGGCTTTCTGAGGCTTGCGTCTTGTGGCTTCAAGCTTGTGGCGCGTGCTTCGGTTTTTGAATTCTGGTGTTCGGGATTGTTTGCTGGGAGCATAGGAAGCGTCGTAGGCGCCGTCTTGCTAAGAAACGATGCAGAAGGCGCAGCAATGTCAGGGGTGATGTGCAGTTTCGACATGCTCGGCGTCTTGGTAGATGTCGGATGGTGGGGAAGATGCGGGCCAAAGCACCGCGCATCATGCGCCGTCGACGTGCGACTCGACTTCGGTTGAAACGTGTGATGAGGAAACGCCTGGACCGGTTGTGTGTTCACAAGCGGGCTGAGGATCCTGATGAAATCACAAGTGAAGCTGGTCTCACTTGTGAGGTGAAGCCTTGTAGGCTCCAACAGCGTGGGTTGAACTTGCGCAAAGTTTGCTTGGAGTGCTTTATTGGCCTTTGGGTGTTCTGCTTGAGCCCCTTGAATCTGGTCCCCTTTGGGAGCATGGTTGACTTTAACCCTTATGTGGGTGAGCGAATCGGCGAAGCCAAAAATCCGGGACCGGGTGGATCCACGGCAACAAAGCGGGTGCGGCAGGAGCGTCTCTTATTCCAAAGACTCAAGCAGCTCTTGCAAGGACTAGCAACCGATGACAGCCCGGCGCCGGATCGCGGGCGCAGCCCAAGGCGACGCTCCAGGTCGCCGGGGGCGGCACCTGATGATGAGCCTCGGTCTCCCAGTTAAAGGAAAGGGTAAAGGGAAACGCCCCGCCAAATCGGCCCCGTCCACTCGAAAGGTTACCTTCTCACTGTCCAATGAGCCCAGCTGTGAGAAAGCCTGGCCCAACTCCGCGCACTTGTTTTGCAAGCCGAGACTCTAGGAACTGATGGCCCCTTGGTGCTTAAATTCGAAGACGAACGCAGCCTGCTCAGCCTCGGAAGACTCGCCCTGAGACCCAGGACAAATCCGCTAAGCACACCTTTCAGGCGGGCAAGGATACCACTAAGGCGGCCCCCGTGGCCCGTCAATCCTTGGTGTTAGATCAGGGGTGGTGGCCCAGTAAGGTGGCCTCCGCTCATAAGTTCTCCATGAGCCTTGATGCTGGGGAAGCCGATGATGGTACCCTTGTTCAAGCTTCTTTGAGAATGCCTTCTTTTTAAAGAAGTTGCTTCGGTGCATGGTTTGCAATCTAAGGTTGCCCTTATTTGCAAAGACGTGGCTGAAAAGCCCGTGGATAAATCGCTGGATCTGTCTCCAAGCACTCGCGGATGGCAACGTGTTTGGGTTATGCCCTTGGCGGTTGCTCTTCCGCAATGGGGGCATGAGCCCATGGTTGCCGACTGCAAAAAGTCGGTCCCCACGACGGAAATCATGGCCACACTTCGAGCGGTCATGCCTCGGGAATTCCTCTCTGAGGCTGATTGGCAGCGTGTTTGCCGCAAACCTGCTTCTCTTCTGAACGCTTGCCTGCCCCCCGGAGTTTGCCTTCGCAGCTACGGGTGGCACCAGACGGTGAGGAAGCTGTTATTGGGTTTAAAAAAATCCCCACAGATAAGGCCAATTCGGTTCTGGCCGGCTCTGGTGAGCGAGGCGTCTTTTTGGTTAAACTGGATGGCAAAAGCCCTACTTCCCAAAAGACCCCGGTCCAATAGATCGAAAGACAGGACAAGATGAAGTCTTCCAGTTACTACAGCGGGACCTTGGCAGCAACGGAGGGGACTGCGGTTTCCGATGCCTCGCTGCTGCGCAGGCCATGCGAAACAAAATCCCCGAACAGGATATTCAAGCCAAGGTGGATCGCC